CCTGCCACGGCCATACAGTTTGTAAGCAATATAAGTGTCTGTGTTTATTTGGTTGGGTCTGAGCGGCTGTGGGACTGGCGGGTGACAAAGATTTGTCCTGACTGTGGGCAAGGCAGGAAAACTCTAGCTACATAGGTGTATTTTGAACAAGTATGCAAATCCAAACCCACAATGAACTAAAAAAAATACTCCAAGAGGATGTTCAACTGAGGAGCTGCTACTGAACAGTGAAGGAGATGTCTAGAATCTGAACCTGATTAGTAGCATCAGACACAGGTTTGCAAAGCTTGGGTATGGAATGTATCCTGAAGATAATTTAAACAGGTGATTTAGCTTGTAAGCATTTCACACAATTTTCAAAAAAAACTAGATGATTTGAAGTAGGTCTATGTTAAAGAACTATATAAACAACTGTTAAATGTATTCCAAATACGCTTTAAAAGTGGAGATGCTATCGGTATTCTTTGTAAAGGTGAAGAGACAGGCGTGTTTATCACACATCTGGAGTGAACTACATCAGTGTTTCTCAGCAGTCACTTCTAAACTGTTCTCATGAAGAGACACTGGAGTGCCCAGTAGATAATGAGTGTTCAGTAAATACTGCAGGGCAGGCAGGTTGTTGGGCTGGAAGGAAAAGTCCATAGAGCAGTGGTTCTCACCTTCCTAAACACTGAGACCTTTAATACAGTTCCCCATGCTGTGCTGACCCCCAACCATAAAATTATTTTCATTGCTATTTCATAACTGTAGTCTTGCTACTGTCATGAATAGTAATGTAAATATTTTTAGATGCTGGGGATTGCCGAAGAGGCCACGATCCACAGCTTGAGAACTGCTGCCATGGAGGGATAGTTAATGAAATGGCAGTAATGGGGCAAGACTTAACTGTTCTGTTTTGACAAAGTATGTATGACTTTTCGATATCAAAAAAATAGATGTCAACCATCTATATGGCTTCTTTCCCCCTCCTTTACTGAAAATAACTAAAGAACAGAGATAGTCAAGTCTGAACCACATAATAGTCAGCAATGCTTACACTCCCCAGAACTGTGTCTGGGGATGTGGCCATGATAACAGTTCTGGCATCCTACCACGGAAGGCAAGGCTAGAGGTGCTCCATCACCTCTGACTGAGTAGAAATAGACTGCATACGAGATATATGGATTAATTCTTGTTTGCACAAAACACCCAAGTCCTCCTTCAAGTGCCTGTAGCTTCTCTACTAGAAAACAATGGCTACCTTTACCCTGAAGTTCAGCAAAGAAGCAAGTACTAGCACTACACCCGAATGCACAACTCTAGCTCCGTCTCATGACTCGCTGCTTTCTCCCTTTAGCATACTGTAATTTGGAGGTACTATATAATAACTTACAACATACCCAATTGTAATTCTATTCAAAATCTTTTGTTCATTAATTTGCAAAAAGGTTTTTTGTTTGTTTTTGGTTGCTATGAGAAAGCTTAGTTTCAGCAGTGTTTTAAAAAGTTTCAGTAGGGTATTTATTTAAAATGAGAAAGGGACTCTAGGTGATGACCTGGAACTCTGCATGTTTTACAATCATCTACTCCAAAGCATACCCACATTCAATACATAATGAACCAAAGGCTAGGATATCATAAAGCACGTCAAATTTAAGGAATGAAACTCTGCATCATCTCGGGCTCCTCAGCACCTGTACTACTTGCAGAGTTCATGTGATATGCAGCAAGTGCTCACAACCACCATATCACCCATAGCTCTGGTGATGAGAAGGCTCACATTCAAGACTGTACTGGAAATATGGGGTAATAAGAAGTGACACACTGCTGTGGGATGTCTTTCTGTACACTGTGAATATGTGTTGCTCTGACTGGTTGATAAGCAAAGCTGCATTGGCCTATGGTAGGGCAGGATGGAGCCAGGCAGTAAAATCCAAGAGAGAATGTGAAAGGAGAAAGAAGAGCAAGGGAGACGGCAAACCACATCCAAGGAGCAGCATGTAATGGGATGCAGGTAAAGCCACAGAACATGTGGTGATACACAGATTAATAAAAATGGGTGAATTTAAGATGAAAGAGCTGGCTAGCAAGAAGCCTGCCAGAGGCCATACAGCTGGTAATTAATATAAGCCTCTGAATGATTATTTTATACAGGGCTGCAGGACTGGGGGGCAGGTGGGACCAGAGAAACTTCCGGCTACAACACATGTCCCTTCTATGAAGCATCTAAGCACAATGACTAGCATACAAACCCCAGATAAAAAACTGAGAGCCAGACACAGCATATGCTCACTATGAACAAATCAGTTCGTAAGTTTTCTTTAGAACTTAAAAAAACTAATAGGATACTTTGTCTTCCTCAACCCTGAGTCCTGTGTACACTCCCTATCACTACTGCCCCTCTGCTCTGACACTAAGGGAAATAGACTGCACTAACCCTCACCCATACATGCTACAAGCAAAAATTAAAATTAAAATGTAGTTTGCACTGCCAAAGTGAGAAGAAAATTTCTAGGTGTGTAGCCTGATAGTATATGGATTTAATTAAACTTAGTTTTTCTCTTCTAATGTTCATTTAAAGTAGCTTTGCTGGATCATCCAGGCAGAAACTGCTTACAGAGCACTTCCCATAATAAAGTCATGTGAAGGTTTCCCTCAGCTGAAATGAGTTGACATGTGCTGATAAAACATCATCACATAAATATTTCTGCATTCTGGCAGGGCACTGTTTTTATACAGTGTACAGTAAAACTGTAAGAGGGCCAGAATGTGAGTAAATACTTTACACTTTGAGGGTTGTTTGCTAGAATAGCTACTTAAGTCTTCTAGTATGCCAGTAATGTAACCTCAGATAATACATATACTAACCAACTTAGAATTTTCCAGTGCATACTTTTTTTTTTTTTGCCTAAACCTCACATAATGAAGTATACAAATTAGCTTCTAGGTTGTGAAATTATGTTTTAAGTTGTTTTTGAGCACTAAGATGTCCACTTACAAAGATGCCATGCAACACAGAAGCTTCAGTAACTAAATCAACAATGACTCCTCAGAACAAAGATAATGTAGACATGGGATCATGGACACAGAAATGCCACTAACCTACTCAAGAGGAATACAACTACTCATAGAACTTTATATTGTTGTATCAATGGGCTAACAATTACATTGAACTATGATTCTCTATGCATGCAAGGAAAAATCCACTAGGAAATCACATACAAATGGTGAGATCACATGTTTTTTCTTCAAATTTCCCCATGTTTGTGAATCAGCATATATTAAAGTTGGAAGAGCAATCCCGCTTCAAAGAGGCAAACAGCAAAGCAAAATTTTGAGCCAAGAAATGAAGCTGGTATTCTCATTTGTCTCACACAGCTCTCATTATACAATATTGTATTACTATTCAGGAGCAACATTACCAATAAGCAAAACTTCCAGCTTAAACATAACTAAAGTATTTTTTAGATGCTATTCAAACATTTAACATACATTTTTCTGTCACGCTTAAGTACATATACATACCTGAGAGCATTGAGAAGACCTTCTACACTATTAGGAGGTTGGTCCTTAAGAACTTTGATACAACCTTTCATCTGAGGAGAAAAGAAAAAGTAAATATCTGCTTTTTAATGTAACATTCATTTCAAAAAACAAAACTGAAACCTTAACTACAGTACTGAAGAGATCATATACTGGAAATGCCTAATTATTCACTCTTTGTGGTGGGGGTAGCAGCAAATGCTATTATTTTCAGTCTCTCAATGAGGCAGAGCTTTCTGGGAATGCAGTCAGTCAAAATGAAGTTCTACTCAGACTAATGAGGGAAGAGAAGTCATCCTGAAAAAGATGCTATGCAGCAGTTGCAGAGAGAGAATGGGTCTGCTCCAGGAAAGAGGAGTTTCCAGGGAGCCTGTGACAAGCAGAGGACAGATAGGAATCCTGTGGTGATAAGAAGGGAACTAGAGAATCCAGATGATTCAGGTAAAATGAACTGGCAGGCAGGCAGGCAGCAGGGACTTCTACAGGCTACTCAGATGGAGGTACTCAATGAGGATGGTATTTCAAGATCAGCCTGGTTGTCGTGAAAGGCATGGCAGCACAGATTTCAAAGACGAGATGTGGGTTTAGCCTCATCCTCTACCACTTCCTAGCAATTCTATTACTTAATCTCATAAGGCGAAGCTGCTCTAGTTAAGGGGAAATCCTAGGACAATGTTCCAGGCACATGGGAACAATGAAAACATTCTGGGACACAGTTACCACACAAGTAAGTAACTCATTTTTCCATATAAAACAGATACATAAGAGCTAGTAAACCGTAATTCAGATCTAAAATGCTAAAAGTCTGAAGTAGTAATAAAAGGGGGAATTATCAAATAATCCCCACCAAACACTAATTAGAATGCTGATGTTTAAGAGTGCCCAGAAAAATTACACAGAGAAATGAGAAAAATACTTTATTTCTAAGAGGAACTTCCAGGCAGATAAGGAAAGTAGAAACCAATCACAAAATATTATGAACAGGGAAGGGAAAGAAAAACACAGAATCTTCCACTTTTCTTTAAAAAAGCATCAATGCTGACTCTTAATATACATTCTCAAATAAACCTTACCTTTGGTTATTGGCCAAAGGATACAATTAGAAAATTTATGTAATTATTAGAGATATTACAAAGAAATATTCAACATTATCATCATCATTATTCAATCACCTATCAGTAACATTATCATTCAGTTACCTAACACACCTGCATATTGGCTAGCAACCAGAAATGCAGAACAGTGGAGAAGAAGGAATTCCAACTGTATCACAAACTATGGTCAGAGTCTGTGAGTCCAACCTGCTACTTTTTAAATAAAACCTTATGATTTCCATGCAAGAAAACAGTTTGCAATCATATCAAACAATATGTAACTTACATCAATTTTGGAAGTTTTGGCAAATGCTCCCACTGGATGGACGTGGTCATAGAGTATTATGACACCCACCATTACCCTCAAGCAGAATGATACTGTCTCTTCATTGGTGAATCTGCTTCTGTATTCCCTGGAGGGCAGACAATTTGTATGGATGAGGCACGTCACAAATTCTATAATGAACTGATTACACCTGCACTCGATCCTGACTACTTTGATATCTGAAAGGGACACTAGTACTACCCCTTCTCCACAAGGTCCATAGGGAGAGGAAATGGATTTGGGAAGGACTTACCACCCACATATTGTGGTTCCCACATTTGTACCCCCAGAGTATTATTATATTACCTCTTTACAATTTTAAAGAAAGCAAAAGTAGCCCTGAAAAAAGTTTGGGGATGGGTGCTTAGCAATGTAAAAAAAGTCACTAGCTCAATGGAGCAAGCAGGCTTGCTATTTTATGGATATCTTGATCTGAACACACTATTATATTACAGGATCAAATCATATTCTCTTAGGAAAAGGGAAACAGAATTCTGATCTGCATAGAAAGCAATGGGGGGCAGCAGTAGACCTGACCCAGAATGGGGGCACTATGTATCCCTTCATTTCCTGGACCCCATTTCTTTCCATGGGAGGAAAGAGTGGGAGGTGTTTGTCCTGCTCCATGAGTTCATCAATAACACAGTGTACAGAAGAGCACTGTGGGAAAAGACTGCTGCAAAAACAAAAGTTCTCTAGTAAAAACCATCTCAGTCAAGAATCCATGAGACATTCTTTCGGGTGCTAAGAGGAAAATCGTATGTATCACAAATGCCTTCAGATAATTCAGGTTTGTGAGGAAACAAGGACAAACTGATAGTGTAAGAACATGTGGTAAATGGAATATAATTACAGCCCTCTAGAAAGGGACCTCCCCCCCCCCAAAAAAAAAAAAAAAAAAAAACATGAAATTCTTGGTTCTGATAAGAATAAACTTATGGCAGTACCCAGAGTCCAGCTCTATGCATCAAGAAGAAATGCACGAAGCTGCCAAATTATTTTGACTTTGTTCACACATTCAACATTTGATGGTTAGGATAAATGTCATTTCTCTTCCACACAGGCATGTTTGTATTTGGATATGTTTTGAAATACCAGTCACTTCAGCAGTGTCACTGGAGTGAAAAAGATGGGCTAATACTCACGGGGTCTCCAGCATGACTCTGCATACACTCGCCATGGTGCTTAAACAATCCGTGGTATTTTCTATTGGTAAATTTTTATTCTACAAAGTGTACAGAGAACAAATGAAGTAAGTTAAGGTGAAAAACTTGTCACTTAATAATTTAAAACTTAATAGAATCCCCCAAACAAGCAAATGATCTGGCTCCTATTTCTAATTCTCTAAGCCAATGATCATGATTCTAATCACTGTTCCATGATCAGGGGATAGAGACATGCACAGAACAGCCAAGACCCTGCTGCCCTGAAAAGAGATTACCCTTAGCTGAGCAAGAATAAGTACAGCCTTGTAAACACAGGAGTTGAGGGGCTAAGATACTGTTTATCCTGAAGGTGCTGGGAAATTTTATTTATTTCATTCCATTTTATTTATGGTATGTGGGCACCCTCTTGTGCCACAGTGCATGTGTGGAGGTCAGGAGAGAACCTGTGCTAGTCTCTTCTCTCCTACTATTTGAGTCCCAGGAAACAAACTCAAAGCATCAGGCTTGATGGCAGGCCATCTCTCCAGGCCATGGGAAACACTTCAAACAGCAGAAAAAGAACTAGAGTGGAACAAGAGCAGAGGTAAGGGTAGGGCAGAGGGCGGCAGTCTGATCTGATATGTAGTAGGAGCAGAGTACTTTATAAGCATGATGTACTTTAGAGGATCCAGCAGAGTGATCTGTGGGACAAATGAAAGCAGTGCGAAAAGGAATTTAAAATGATGATCCCTAAGATTCTGACTTGTACCAGTGCCATTATTAACTGAGAAAGACAAGAGATAGGGGAGGGCTAGAAAAAGGCAATGGGAACATGGCATGCTCAAAGAATCTCCAGAATGACTGCAAGCTAGTGGGCGGCTGTGCCCATTCGGGTCTCATTCGGGGGGCCAGTCTAAGGGTGGTATTTGAATCATAGCATCACTGAGGTCACCACATCTGCAGTGAGTGAATCAGCATCAAAATGGAGCAAGGTCTGCAGCAACTCACCTCTGATACAAATTTTGTTGTTGCATCACTTAAGGTTTTCAGCATTGGGGTGGCCTCAGCATAAAACAATGACATTCGATTTGCCAATTCATTATTTACTTCATTTTCTCCTTCTGCCTGTGTGGAAATCACTTCACATTAATTCCCAAATTATTAAATATGATGATGTGCATAAAAGGTCCAAGAATATCTTCTTTATTAAACCAATCTAGAGGTTCAGACCTTCAATATACAAATACTATTTAAATACTCTTTAAAAATAAATAGACTGCAAATGATACTAAGCAATTTTTAAAAAAGAACAACTATCCACTAATGCATATTAAGTGGTATTATGGAACTGCAAAACCTGGATGGGACATCTTACTACACAAGAGACTGTTCAAAGGCTCTGGAAAACAAAAAGATGATTATGAAATTATGCCCTATCTTCCACTATGAACATAAAAGGATCCATGCAATACCATGATAAAAAATAGGCAACAGCAGAAAGGAAGGGACCTCAGACTAGAAAATAATGAGAAGAACCGATGAAGACTTGGGCTTTTACAAGTGATATAAACAAGATATTTCTATCGGCAGGGGGAAAATACATTTTAAAATGACTTAGCAGGCCACATACTGACACAATCGGTGGAATAGGAAGGCAGCAACTGGTGAAAATTCAAGTACGAGTGGGGACCATAAAGGGCCTTAAATGCTACTTTAATTCAGCATTTTCCTTACAAATAGGGAGCTGTTTCAAGTGTTAAGAGTGTCAAGTAAATGTCTTTAAAAAAAAAAAAAATCAACCCATAATAGTAGGCAGACAGTTCCAAAAGGCCAGAAAAGAAATTATGCTGCTACAAAGTAACTGAAAGAGAGAGGGAAATGAGCTCCGAGGTGAAGAAAAAAAGGAGATAAAAATATGCAAGATTGCAAGAATCTGAGAGATCTTACTGAGAACTACTGGCTTTATATCTAATTAGTGAGAGGGTAAGCCAGTTGAAGATCTCTCTAATGTCCTTGGCCTCTTGAATAGTGATGGTTAAGAAGGTAAAAGCTTGAGTGTTGTTTTGATTTACAGGGTGGTTATTAAAAACAGACACTATCATTCACTTCTCACTAGGAAGTCAGTATAAATTCAAACTGTTGTAAAGAACAGAGAAACCCTTTAGTGCTGGCCTCATGCTCATTTTACAAAAACCACTTCATAGAGGTTTTGCAGTATCAATAAATATACCAATTACCACAAAACAGATTCCCTAAACACAATGTAGTATTTTCTCCATGTGTAATTAAGTCCCTGAAAGTAGAAAAAAGTACTAAACAGCTTGGGAGGATAGGAAGAGAATAGCAGTCCTAAAGAACCAAGAGAGGAGCTGTGCTGCCAAGACAAAGGCCAAGAAGTGACTTTCTCATCAGCATGACACAGATGTGCTAATAATAATGGTCCATGACCTCAAGCACCCTCTCACCACTCGCAGTTAATTTCCTCATTTTAGGTCAACTTTCTTCAGGATTCATCATTCTAACCATATAAACATCAGGATTCATCATTCTAACCATAAACATTCATGTAAAAATTTGTTCGGTTAAAATAAGAATATACAAGGAGATTTAAATTATCAGTGTTATAAAAGAAAACACAATTTTACTAAGTGGTTGTGGGAATTGAAAGGCAGTAGAAAAAGAATGTATGCTATATGGTTTGCTATAGTTTGAGCTTTCCTCCCACAGCTATGGTTACTAATAATTGCTAGCTTTAACATCTGAATAAGCCAGGCATGAAAGTGCACACCTTTAGTCCCAGCACTCAGGAGGCAGAGGCTGGTAGATTTCACTGAGTTTCAGGCAAGCCTGGTCTACATAGTGAGTTCTAGGACAGCCAGTGCTATGTAGCACTGTCTCGGTAGAAAAAAAAAAATCTGGTGAGTGGGTGAATAAATGAACAAAGGGAAGAATAAAATCAAGTTATTCTTCCCACCACTAAACCTAACTCAAAGGATAAACTTACCGGGACATTATTAATTCTCATCCGACTCAACGTTCTCCTGTAGTAGCTGAAGTCATTCTGTATGGCAGGATTTGTCATCTAAAGAGGGAGGACATGAATGAAAGAACACTGTTATGTGTGAAAGACGACTGTTAAATACCAAATGCTAAGGTAAACCAGGTGAAAATCTACTATAGTTTGAACTGGTAACCCAACATTTTCATCTAACTTTAACAACTCTCTGGTAGACTATTTTTCAGTTGTAGGCATTATGCATTCCTCCTTTTCAATAATTTTAGGTAATATCTTAAATGCTTGTTTATCGAAAAATTGATATTACAAAACCAAACCAAAAATGAATGTAAGGGTACTTGTTTTGAATAAAAGAACATATACAGGGCCTACAGGGCATTTCTCCAACAGATTAAGTATTTACATACAAATCCTTTGTGCCCAAAGTATTTAGTAAAGAATTAAGTTGTTCATAATACAATATGAAGCAGCAGTTAGAAACATAATTCTTCCATTTTCTAGAAAAGGTAATCAAGGTCTTGAAAAATCAAAGGTCTCATAATTTCAACTCAGGGCTCCAGATAAAAAATACAGTGCTTTTTTTAGACTGGTCCTATACAGCAACATAGACTTATGGGTACAAATACTATAAAGAGGAAGAGGATAAGAGTAAAGGGGGAAAGAAAAAGTGGTGGGAAAGAGAGAGAAAAATTAAGTTTTGTATTTAAAAAAAAGGTAAAATAAACTAGACAGAGAGAAAACCAAACATCAGAAATGAAGCTGGGATTACTTGTTGTTTTTACAACGAACAATGACCCCTGGTACTTTGCTGGTGGCCACTTCAGAAGAGCTGCTATTTCAAATTTAGCTCTCCAGTTGGGCAGAAATCATTTCAATACAGGTTAACAAAGCTTCCCCTATGACTACTCATTGAAAACATGATTTTCATAAAAACTACCCTACCTTGAGTTCATCAAACCGGAGTGTGAAGTGAAGAATCTCTGCAAACTGTTTAGCGAGAGCCTGCTCTCGCTCTAGATGCTGGGTGGGAGAGTATGGTGTACTAGTCAAGGCTCCCAGAAGACCTCTTAATGCTGCTTCTAATGAAAAGAAGATAAAGATGTTAGGTTGTCAGGGAGTTCAATTCCCAACCAACATTCAGATACGAACACACTCTCGCTCTCTCTTTCTATAGCCAAGACAAACCTACACCTTGCCACTGCTAATACTGCACACACTCAAACTGTCTCTACAATTTAATGAAAACCTTAAGAGAACTAATTCAATAAACTCAGATTCAAAATGATGCAGAGCATGAATCTGAACTAAGCACCAAGAACACAGGGGAAACAGTAGCTCCAAAATGCTGAAATTAACTCTGAAACTTGATCAAATGTATGCAAACACTCATTTCTTTTCTTGAACATCCTGTCACAGCAGATTTTCATGATTTTCTTCTGTTCTAAAGGCTCCCAAACTTTGCTTTCTAGTGACCTTAACATCTATGTGGAATGAATAAAGGAAAAAATAATACCCCCACCCCAAACTGAAACTGTTTCCCCTTACTTGATCTTCACATCCACTCTTGTACCTTGTAAGGCACCCATAACCTCACATTCCAGTCCTTACATTGCAGGTAAGATAGCATTCGTTTTAACATGGTAATTTGATAATGTCATTACCCAGCTTAAAAAGTTGTTGAGCTAGAAGAAGAGGGAACAATATGACCAGAAGAGAACGCCCCTGCAATGAGTTCTCCTTTTAGAGACAACTGTCACTGATTCTCACCAAAGGTCATCCTACCATTCTCAAACACCAGACCTTGAATTATCAGAAGAAAACCAAAAAGGTATGACTGGGGGGAAGAGGGCCACAGATGTAACACATTCAACACTTAGGAACACAATTACTGTAAATGCTTTTGCTTTTGAATTTTTAAATTTCTTTTTTTAATCAATACAGCAGGCTAGGAGTGTAACTCAGTTGAGATAGTGCTTGCCTAGCAGGCATGAGGCCCTTGATTCAATCTCCAGTAACACATAAACCTGGCATGCTTACACTGAGGAAATAGAAGCAGAAAAATCACAAGTCCAAGAGCACAATGGGGGCTGCGGGGAGGCACCCAACTCTCTGGAGGCAAAGGCAGGCATATATCTGTGAGTTTGAGGCCAGCCTGGTCTACACAGTGAAAACATAACCCCGCCCGCCCCCAAAAAGCTCAAGGCCAAAGCCAAGAGACCAGGAGATCCACAGGACCAAGAGTGGGAGAAGAAAAGAACCAACCATACAATCTGATTTCCACAACTATTCTGTGATGCAAATAAACTTTTTCTTAAAGAGTAATTTATTTTTATGCATGTGTTTGCATGCATGTATGTATGTGCACCATGTGCATGCATGGGACCCATAGGAGTCAGATCTCCTGGAAATGGACTTACAGGTGGTTTTAAGCCACCATGTGGGTGCTAGGAATTGAACCTAGGTTCTCAGAGCAACAAGTGCTCTTAATCACCGAGTCATCTCTCCAGGCCCTAAATTAATGTTTTTTTTTAAAAAAAAAAAAGGTTCAAGGTCATCTTCAGATAGTCAGTTCAAGATCAACCTAGGCTATCAGGGATCCTGTCTCAATAAAAACAAACAAACAATTCACTGCTTTAAAAAGAAAACCTATCAGTCTGGCAGTGGTGGTGCGCGCCTTTAATCCAAGCACTTGTGAGTCAGAGGCAGGCAGATCTCTTAGTTCAAGGGCAGCTTGGTCTACAGAGTGCTCCAGGACAGTCAGGGCTACAAAGAGAAACCCTGTCTCAAAAAACCAACCAAACAAACAAACAAACAAAGAGCCCAATGAGAACAATCAACATACTGAATACACTCCATAAGCCCTGGAACAGAAGAAAGACCTTGGTGAGATAAAGAATTATGTCTACTGTCAACACAGCTGCCTCAACAGGAAAGGCCTGTAGGCCTGAGACCAACACAAATACAGAAAATTTCTCTAGCCATTAAAACTGTCAGAAAAACTCAGCATCTTCCAAGTAGTCTGGCATTATTGGCTTGTACTCTAACAGATGAAAACAAGCAAGACACCAGGGTCTCTCTTCTGAAATACAACCCATGAAGGATACGCTGAAGCTAAGGCCACAAGCTCCTTCATTGGTATTGCAAGATGCTGAAGGATTTGTACAACTTAACAGTTGGTGGAGTTCCCCAAGCTGCCTGGTATTTATTCTCATCTCTGGCTCCACATTGGAGGGGTAGGTAGAGAAGAAATAAGAAAGGCTTAAGAGATACAGGCAGAAGACCCGTGCAGTCTGGACAGAATACTTAAATTTTGGAGGTTATCAAGATTGTTCATAGCTAGTAAGAGTCAAATAGGGTTGTCTCAAGAGCTTAACATGTACTATTATTGATCTTAAAGACCTAATACATATTTGAGATACCAAATTTGTGTAGCCATTTAAGTATGAGCTACTCATTCAACAACACTGAGTCTATTATGCAAGCAAATAAATATATCCTGTTAGCAATGAAGCTAGAAACATTAACCAGGTTACTGACCTGTGAGATAGGGTAATCTATAAGATCTCAAAGTTTACTTTTAAAAATATATAAATATGTATTTATTTATTTTTACAATCCAACCACTGTTTCCCCTCCTTCATCTTGTCCCAGTTCCCCACCATTCTCCCCTCTGTACCCCCTCCACTCTCCCTCTGTTTCTATTCAGGAGGCCCATGGATATCAACCAAACATGGCATATCAAGTTGAAGGCTAGATGAGGCAACTCAGTATGAGGAAAAGGGTCCGAAAAGCCGGCACAAGACTCAAAGACAGACCCTGTTTCCACTGTCAGGAGTGCCACAAGAAGATCAAGCTGCACAACCATAACATATTTGTAGAAGGCCCAAGTCAGTCCCATGCAGGATCCTTGGTTATCAGTTTAGTGTCTATGAGCCCCTATGAGCCCAGGTTAGTTGATTCTGTGGGTTTTCTTGGGGTGTCCTTGACCCCTTTGGCTCCTATAATCCTTCCTCCCCCTCTTCTGCAGGGTTCCCGAGCCCTACCTAATGTTTAGCTGTGGGTTCAAAGTTTTACTTTGACTCATGACTTTGCAAGTCCCTAAGAGTTCTTTTATGAAAGGCTCAAGGCCCACGAACAATGGGAAAATTGAAAACTTTTGCTATGAACTGTTATTATATCCTCTGCTGAAGAACAGCATCCACGGGACACACTTTACCAGGTTAATTCCAACATCTAGAACATCAGAAACATTTAAATCCACCCACTTTGGTCTGTTTTTTTCATTCTTCACTGATACACACCAAGAGACCAAGACAGCTTCAGTAGAATCTGAGCATTTCAACTTCAAAGGAGGCTAAGTACTAACAGCATAAGAAGGAGTCTAAATATACAGTCAAAATAACCAAGATGAGAAGACCTAAGCTGACAAAGATTACAGAGGATGCAAAACTACAGACCACAGAGACGCTTGACTCAAAGGCAAATAACTGAAAAAGAACTAATTTTCATGCTTAGGAAAATAAACTACAACTAAAACTTAAAGTAAGAAATGTCTGGTGCATAAAAATGATTCAGATATCCAGATCCCATGTAAAAGCCAAGCATGGTGGCTGGCATATGCCTGTAACTCCAGTGCTAGGGTAGACACAGGCTGATCCCTGGATTTTTCTGCCAACCAGTCTAACCTAAACGATAAACTTCTGATTTAGTAAACAACCATGTCTCAAAAGTAATCACCAAAAGACATTCCAACAACTTCTGGCCTGTATGCATACACACAGAAGAGTTTCAAAAAAAGATATTTAACATAGAAATGTTTCTCCATTTCTTGTCTGTTATATTAAATGTTTGTCCTAAGGGTTAGGATGTCATTCAGTGGCAAGCACTTGCCTACCAAACACAAGACCCTGGGTTCTGCCCCAATATGAGGAATGCAGCTCATAACAGTCTGTCATCAGGCCCCTGGGTTATTTTAGTCTTTGTTTTTAAAATTACCTGGGAAAGGATTTGTTATAGATATGGAGACCAATTCTACCATGTGGTTTCTTATACTGAGACCCTTAAGCATGCAAAGAAATCAGATTTCCTTCTGTAAATCACAACTTGATGAAGAATACAGTCTGAAGAATTCAAAGATCTGGGCCTGAGGACATGATGAGTACATTTCTGTGTGCTCATATACATCCTGCCTTACCTGTACAATAGATACACAGCCAATACATTCTGAAAACATTCTGGACCTAAGAAATAGGGTTGTTGTTTTTGTTTTTAACATTCTTTGTAACATGAAAGTAAATATTAGAAAGTTTTACACTTACCTAGCCTCTGAGAAAATTCATAAAACTTCTTTAATTTGCCTACTAGTGGCACAACTGCACCCCATGCCTTCTCTTGCAACTTCTCATCTGCTGGATGCTGGATTGCCTTCAAAACCCAAGAAATAAAAAAGTGAAGATTTATAAATGTCCTAAGTCTTTTTTACATTAAGGCAAAGTTTTACCAAGTAAAGGAGATCCTGATATTTAAAATATAGAATGACAGACACAGGAATTTTTAGTTTGGACTTTCTCAACTCCACAAAGATTATTACCAGTAGATGCAATATAATATAATAAAATAAACCCTATTTGTTAACTACATTACTTCTTGGTGTCATTTAGATCCAGAGAAGGAAAATATTTTATACTATTTCCCCTACTGCAGAGACACTCTTGGTATGTCATCAAGAAGGAACGAAGTAAGACAACAAATGAAGACGCCAATCCTGGGAAAGGGCCCAGAAGCCTTAATTCAAAGTGCACGGTCCACATCAGCTCTAAGACCTGGCAAACATGAACCTGAGTCAACCTGCAAAGTGCAACTGTGAAATATTGTAAATACTCCTTGTTTAGAACTAAGATTCTTTTCTGGTTTTCTGAGGCTTCCTGAGTAAGAGGACAGACAAAGCAGCTTCAGCTCTGAAGGGGAAGAGATCAACCAGGAAGAGACCCCAAATACACAGACCTCTGTCAACATTGCTAATCCTTCATTATGCGGTGGTCTCTTCTTAGGATAGAGTTATTCCCAGAAGAAAGAATTTTCTTACTTGGACCTTCTTTTGACTTAAAGACGCTTTCTTAATCCTTTACAAAACTCAATGTGTTTTTTTCCTAACAACTTGCTTTGCCTCCTCTAATATTTTAAATAACCCAAACTCACTATCTTAAAGAAAAAAATCTGTAACTATGGCAGGAGCTGCTTATAGGGTCACCAGAAGAAGTGACATGTTTAGTTTCCCTCAAGGCACTAGTACTGAATCTACCCACACAAAAACAAAATCAAGGCAAAATAAAATTAAACTTAGATTTTAAAATGTTGTGAATATATTAAGTACGAATAAATAAATGGGCTGTGCCTTAAGTAAATCACTATATACATTTCCAAATGCCAGGTCCTACTATGTAGCCCAGACTGCCCTCAAACTCATGATCCTCCTGCCTCAATCTCGAAAGTGTTGAAATACAGGCATGTGCTATCACATCTAGCTGATAGTTTCAAATTTTAATTTTTTTCTATAATTATTTGAATAATTCTTAGATACAGCAGGGTCCAAAGCCAATATTACCCATGTTACTATCTAGAAATATTATAATAAAAATCAAGTATCACAACATGTAATACTCTTAACTTCATATAAACATGAGATTTCAAACAATCTTTGATAATATGCTAATATATCTTGGGAGAAATCCTTTTAGGTCTACAAGCCCAGACTCAGTCCATATTATAATAAGTAATGGAAATTTGTTTATTATTCAGGAAATAAGCAAACAGATAAAACTACACTTTTGTTTTCTCTTAAGTATCCCCCAGCTTCTCTTATGAAAATCTAGGCACCAATATATTCTCACAATTCACAAGTGTGCCTGCAGATGTCATCTATTGTTCCAGCTGGGGGGGCTACTTCCCAGGACCTGCCCTACCTGGTGGAACTGAAGACTGAGCGTAACTTCATGGCTGAAATCCTATGGATCTCTCTAAGTGGCTGGTCCTTCACCTCTCACTTCAGACTCACTGCTGTTATGTTAGTAAGTTTGGGCCCAATATCCAAAGCAGCTCAACATATAAGAGGGCACTTAGTAATGCCAATGGCAAAAATATCTTGAAGCAAGTACTACAACTCACTTTCAAATCTGCTAAAACTTAGGGCAGATTTCAACATTAGTAGAAGTTTTTATTCCTTCACTAGAGATTTATACTAGAGAACATACTTGACTTAACTCATAATTATTCATTTTAGGGTTATATACTTAAAATTTTGATTTATTTGTATGTATATTTTGTTTGCATGTATGTCTGTGAACCACATGCATGCCTGGTTTCTGAAGGGATCAGAAGATGGTGCTGTATCTCCTGGAACTGGAGTTACAAATAGACGTGAGCCATCTTGTGGGTGCTGGGAATTGGCCCTGGTTCCCTGGAAGAACAGCCAGTGCTCTTAACTTCTGAGCCATCTCTCTAGCCCCAAATCATACTTATTCCATTTTAAATCCACGCTTTACAAATGTTATTTTAATAAATATTCAAGTCTACATCATTAACAAGCTACCAGGAAACAATGTGTATTACTTCATGGCAGGTACTGCGCTACACTGTTTACATGGAGGTACATTTTTTTTTTTTTTTTTTTTTTGGTTTTTTGAGACAGGGTTTCTGTGTTGCCCTGGCTGGCCTATAACTCACTCTGTAGACCAGGCTGGCCTCAAATTCACAGAGATCTACCTGCATCTGCCTCCCGAGTGCTGGGATTAAAGGAGTGTGCCTCTACCTGGCAACATGGAGTTTTCAAATTTTATTACCACAGCAATTTTGCTAGTTGCTTCCATTTTGTTATAGTGAGTAAAAGAGTCATTGTTCTTTACATTTACCTTTTCCCTTATTTGGAACATATAGAATCAAATACCTGGTTTAAAAGCACAAATAATTTTAGCTTTTTTTTTTTTTTTTAATATAGTGCCAAAGTAACCATTTTACAGTGGCACTTGGCCTTTCTCAATGTGAACTGTTTTCCTACTATTCAGAGACCTTAAGTAAGTCTATGCACCAAACACACATAAAGAAAGCTTCAGCTGCCTCAACATTCTCAAAGCTCAATAAGGTCAATCTCTGACCAATGCTTTATATTTCTCTCTCCTTATACTTTTGTGTTCTTTAATGTTTTCTGGCTATATTTTCGCTTCCCACATCTAAGCCTTTAAAACACACACACACACACACACACACACACACACACACACACACACACACACACACTTACTTTGAGGCATTTACCTTTCCACATCAAAAGTTATGGAATAATGTGAATTATGTGTAGCTATATCCTTGGGAAATCAACTCTATTATATACGTAGGGCATCTTGCGGAGAATGTCACTTTGGTCATGGTATTGAAAGTTTCTGGCTTTGCAGACTCATTGAGTATCTCATAAATGACCTCAGTAAACTTTCTGATCATGTATTCTCTCCCAGAAATTAAAACTCAATCTCAGCATGAAGTCAATGAAGTACACATGCAAATAAGGAGGAGTACTCCTTCATTCATGGAGCCTTTCCTACACAGACACAAAGCAACCCTTCTCATGAGAATTAATCAAACTTTTTTCAAAAAAGTTTGAAAAAACTTTTTTTAGGATTTTTTTCAAAATCCTAAAATTTCTACCTTTAGGGAGAAAAATACATAATGAATGTCTTTGTAGTGAATGAGAATTTTTTCTTTATTTACTATAAGAAGTAAAGATGACCAAATGATAAGAATCTGACTATATTTAATCAACACGAAGATACCATCAAACCCTTTTTATAATAATTTGTGAATTGTTGTGACTTATAGGGAATAAACAGTTTACTGAGTAGTGTTTTACTTCCATGTCTGATTTTCAAATTATATTTTGATGCCTTCAGTATCTGATTTCATAGTAACAGTCACAGTCTTTCACAAAAATGTTAGGTTAATGATAGCAGAAAGATTAGTCCACAGCTCTAGTAATGTATTGCCTCAACAGTTTACAGCTTATTAAGCACTGAATACACAAGAGCCTGGGGTTTAACCCTCTAAAGCTTAGAGGGTGAGTGGGATTAAAGACAAACACTGGGTCATCATTATTCTTTAAAGTTCATGACTACCACAAAGACCATGTGTTAAGTGCTAGGAACGCAGAGCAGAGAAGGAGGTTATGGACAGGTGAAGGAAAGAAAGAAAAGGCTCTCCACACAAAATCAAAGGGAAGGAGACTGCTCTGCAAGACGCAGGTCACAAACAGTCCAGAGCATGAGTGGCAGGAACTGTAACTGAACTATAATTCCTTCAGTTAATGAAACTACCAGCTGCTACTCTGAATTTTGAGTCATTTCAGTATCACTCCTCCCTTACGCTACAGAGTTAGTCCAAAACCAGTGTCCTCGTCTTCCTGCACTTTACTCTGTCAGAGTATGTCAGAGGATAAATCAAGACATGAAGACTGGGGACCCAAAATACTGGTCTTTGATGACTGCTATACTACTTGATACTGAGAGTAACAGAAGCAAGGGGGACATGAACAAAGCATGGGCATTGCCTTCCAGAAATGTAGTGCTGAGAAATTAAGGTCTAGAGGGCAAGAGAGTTTGAGTACTGAATCAGAGTAGAGTAAGTACATTCAGAGGAAAGAAAAGCAAATAAAGATGTAATCAAGAAAAAGAATAATTAAAGAGTAAATGAAGTTCCAGATTGGAACTTGAGAATAAAGGCAGAGCTGGTCCTGAAAAGAAGCAGGGGCATTTCAGTTTCAGAAGAACAGAATAGAAAAGAAGAGGTCCAAAAGTCTGTGTAAATTCAGAGACTAGAGGAGCAGAGTGCACACCTCACCTCACACTTTCCAGTTAGCATAAAGCTATTAGAGAAAGGGCAGGTGGGGAGGGAGCTGGATGTGGAAGACTACCTTGGATAGTTTCAGTTTCTCCTAGGAAGCTTAGGAATTCAAAACTAGACTGGAAGAAGCCAGAGAGTTATATTCTTTTCCACAAAAGGAAAGCATAAATAGTTCCCAAGGGAAAATATAATTTTCATGTGTGACTGTAACAAACAGTAATGTTATTATCTATCACATACGGGTAGGCAACACTTCCCTTTTATAATATCCCTCTGCCAATGGATCACTGCAACCACTTTTGAAATAAAGCCAAGTGATTTGTCAAATATAATACTTTCCATAGCAAGCAAGACCAGAAAATGATAGAAATTAAGCCAAGGAGACACGTAACCAACTCCCCTTTACGGAAAAGCACCTATAATAAATTATAAACTTTACCTCTCGTATTTCATGGCCAGCTCCTCTGTATGACTGCAAGTCCTCCAAGATGCCTTCTGCATCTTTTAACACTACATTCACCTGATTATATATTTCCTTCTCAGATTCTGTAGGCTGGGCATCTAAACAGCATGAAAGTACAAGAAAATTTACAGTGGCATGAATATTTTAATATATCTACTAACTATAAGCAATTAACAACCCAAATTACCAAAAATGAGTTACGTTTTACTCAATATTAATTTTGCACTTTTTAGAAGGCAAATTTAAGCTAATTTCAAATTTATACAAATTATAAAGAAGCAAGAGAAAAACAAATATTACTATATAATATTTAGTTTAATATAAATTATGACTTGGTATATTAAACAAATCTGAGAATTTGAATTAAAATGTAAACTGGTATTACTTATAGTTTTGGTTTTTTCAGGTAGTCTCACCACACAGCACAGACTGGCTTTTAACATATTATGTACATCAGGCTATCCTCAAACCTGTAAATCTTCTGCTTCAGTCCAAGTGCTGGGATTACAAAAATGCAAGAACATGCCCAGCATCTGATATATTTGGTGATCCCTTTTTGTACTGCATGCCTCACTGTCACTAACGATAACAAATGAATGGTCACTATTCTATTTAATGCAATCGAAAAAAAGCCTAACTACTAAATTATCTTGCTCATCTACAGTTTAAAAGCTAACACTACTTTATTTCCTATACAGTTCACTTTATTTTAACAAGTGAGGATTGCTAGGGGCCATTTAAAAATGTCTGAACAATTGTGATCACATGAGGTTATGAGAGAGGATAATATAATATGGCAGTGTCGCTGAGCTTCTCTGTTGGTGAGTATGAAAGTCAAGATTCCTGCGCAGGAGTTCACCCTACAAAACCACTACAGAACTCCTGAGCAGCTGAAGAGTAAATTACTTTAAGCTACAAGATCACCACTGAAATTCTGAAATGCAAAATCAAAAACTGACTTTCTACATACCTAGGACTGAGGAGGAAGAAAATGAAGGAATAATTACAGTTACAAAAATCACAGTCAGGGATACAAACATATGGGCACTTTTACCACCAGTGGTGCTAACCAGAAAACGTATGCTGATAGGTGACAAAATCTGGATTTCTCTCTGCCAGACAAAGGTAACAGAAATCCCATTTTTATAGCATGGTCATTTGTTTCCTCTAAGCTCAAGTCTCTTTAATATACTCCTTTCTATTTTGAGACAAAAAGGTAGACTACTCAAGCAAAGAGTTTTTCATAAGCATTTCCAGCTAGATCATATTCAATCCTACAAATCAAGTATAAAATACATAAGATCATGCCATAAACTATGTTGGCAGAATTCCTCCATGCTAACATGCTTTTTGGGGGTGGAGGAAAAGAGCCAGTCCAAATTTAAAAAATGAATTCAGAGTATTTCTGGCCAGATTCACTGTTTGCCAGTAATATAAAACTGGCTACTAGACTTTATACCTATTTGTCCTTTTACTTAGAAAATTAAAAAAAAAAAAACCACACTTGAGACTAAACGTAAAGACATCTTAAACATCTTAAATTATATCTTTATTTTATGCCTGGGGCAAGTAATGATCCAGTTCCCTCTATTACCTACCAACTAGTCAATAATACACAACATGTTTAAAATTAACAATCACAGTACCCAAATTTAAATTCAATGTACGTAAGACAGCAGTATAGAAACAGTAAAAAAAACATTCACGTGGAAAGCCAACTTTAAAAATGTATTTGGATATTCATTCACTTATTTTAATTACTTTTTTAAAATAAAAATATAATAAAAAGAGGAGCCAATTAAAATATTAAAAGATTGTGTCCAAAGCTACAAAGGTTTTAAGAGTAAATACTCAAGTATGGATAAATGTCTAGAGTTATAAAACAAAAAAGTCAGTCTGTTGTTTTAAGCAGTAATGTTTTTACATACAGCTAGACCATATTTTTCAAAGCAATAATTAGGCACAATACTTTTTAAAAAGCACACCCATTGCCTTTATACTTACACCAGATGCAGCATAGAGAAATACTTTGTACATGCAAAAATGAAAGTTCAGTACTTTCTCATATGGACTGTGGAACTACAGACACAACATTAATAGACACATAGTTTGAAGTTATGAGGTGGGAATTCATGACAAAGGAAAGTATTTTATCTATTACATATCAAAGGCATTTGTATCATTTGAAGACTAAACTATGTATTTTTGGTGTGGTCACTAGGCTAATAACATAAAAATGTGACATTGAGTTTACATACAAATGAAACATCATCAGGTAGATTTAAATAGACCTTGTAAGTAGTTAATAACTAGCAAAGGTTTAATAAGTACCAAGAAATTTAAAATAAAGGAGAAGATTCAAGTTTCCCTAAGAGGGAAAAACACCCAGCACCACACTGATCAAACATTTTTTAGACTGTCACAGGAAAGTCACATTTATAATTTTGAAAGCTGCTGAAGACTGCTGTAGAAATGAAGACGAACAGAAAAGAGCAGACAGATAAGCACTACTTCATTGAAAGCAAACCATGCAAAGGGTGAAATACCAGGGAGGGACAAGAAACTATAAAATAAAGCATTTCTTTAAAAAAAAAAAATGTCATTATATATAATGCAACCAAGACTTGTCACTTTGATTTTTCATAGCTTTACTTTTAAAATACACCACATAGCCTGCCAACAAAACGATACTCATTTGAATGCAAAACACTGTACTTACTAAGGGAAGATATATTCATTGCTCATCAGCCTTAAATGTACATCTTGTTAAGTGGAAATTAAGGCATGTTCCAATTGCTGTTATTGTTTGAAGGCAAAATTAAATATTTTTAGCCATATCATACCAATTTCCTACCAGGTAGAGAAAGAATTCCCTAAAAGACTCCAGCAAAGAATCACTGAAAGTAATCACTAAAACTGGAGATAGTGGGGTTTTTTGTTTGTTTAAAGAATCAAAAACTGAACTATGAAAGGAGAAAAAAGAAGATAACATAAAAATTACAATTGTGACAAAAGAGCCTAGTAGATTTTCTAAAATAAACAGTTTCTGAATGAATGGAAGCATAATCATAAATGAACCTCCAGCTTTTAATTTAAAGGAGGCCATTACACATTTGATCACAGATTAGTTTTCAAAAAATATTTTAAAGATGCCACCGGAATAAAGATATTCCCTAGAATAGGTCAAGAGCAATTGAAAATATGCAAGAGATTAAATGGAAAAAAATCACATTAGCCTTAAGAGTGAGTACCAAAAATTTTAAATAAAGGAAGACAGGCAACACAAAAAGATGTGAGAAGAAGAAGTGTATGATTCAATGGGAAGGCACTAATGACAAGCAGAAAAAGTAGACTCCATTTCTTATAAATGACCATTTCTTTTTTTTTTTGGTTTTTCGAGACAGGGTTTCTCTGTGTAGCTTTGCGCCTGTCCTGGAACTCACTTTGGAGACCAGGCTGGCCTCGAACTCACAGAGATCCGCCTGGCTCTGCCTCCCGAGTGCTGGGATTAAAGGCGTGCGCCACCACCGCCCGGCTTAAATGACCATTTCTACAAAAACTATTTTGATTTACTTTGATACATAAATGAAATTTAACAAATACTGAACTTCAAGGCTGGGAAGGGACACAAACCCAAAAAGTCCCTCTTCTTCTATGAGCCAGAATTGTGTGAACCACTGACGTAACAGTTGCTAAAGATTTAATCTTAGAATGAGCTATTAATTAACAACCTTAACAGTAGGTCACTCTAAGAATTAGAGGAAGAAACTATAAAATGCTGCCATTTTGTTTTGTTATTTTTAAATATACTGTCATTAGCATATCTGCGGTCGTATATTATGAAGCAATTCTGGGCTTATTATCTTAATAGGACTTAAGAGGAATTCCTGTATCTAAAGTGTATGAGGTTTCACTGAGCATAGAATGGCATCTGTCTTCAAACCACCATGCATGTTGCTGCTTCTTTCCAGTGTCCTTCCTAAATGAGCTGTACATATTGCATGCACCCTCCAACACTCACCTCCAACATCATCACCAGAAGGCTTCAATGGTGGTGCCAAATTTACTAAATCTCACCTTCTGATCTATACCTTGAGTATAAATTATGTAAATGAGACTGTGATTCTTCACTTCTATCTACCCTACTAAATAGACTGAGATCCCATGGAAGAGGTAGAAAGAACAATAACCTTTGTATACCTAGTACCTACTGACTGGTATACAAGAGGCTAGCTCTATGTATACATGGATTGAAGTGTAAACCTGTAAAGGGCGTCTAGGTTAAGGGAATAACGACTTCAACACAGTCTTCATTTGTATAATAAATTATTACATACCACAAAATTAAGTTTAAGGTGCATGGGCATATATAATTTGATACATTCGGATGCCCAAAAGCCAGACACAGAACGGTGTCTATCTTAACACCACTGTGCATGTTGCTACTTCTTTCCAGTGGCCTCCCTAACTGAAAAGATATATAAAATTATTTCTATAGAGCCCAACTCTGGAGATACGTGGGGATGGGTCCAACCACTAAGAATGACAGGAATAATAGGCCTAAATTACTGTGGTGATCTGAATATTATTCCATATATAGAAAAATGATAGCTCGGAGCCAGAGAGATGGCTCGGAGGTTAAGAGCACTGGCTGTTTTTCCAGGTCCTGAGTTCAATTTCCATCAACCACAGAGTGACTTACAACCATCTGTGATGAGATCTGGTGCCCTCTTCTGGTGTGCAAGCATACATGCAGGCAGAACACTGTACACATAATAAATAAATAATTTAAAAAAAAAAAAAGACAGGCAGAAAGAAAAAAGATAGCCTTAACTACTTTAATCAAATTTGGCTTTATTAAAATAACAAATGAGAATTGGCAGATTAACTACGTTTGACAACCTTGATTCTGGTATGTAATAGTCAAAAAGAGGAACCATCCATAGTCTCTATAAAAGCTTAATGATAAAGAGTTCACAATTGTCTATTTCGTTAAAAAGAGAAAAAAAAAATGTGTAAAATAGAAAATTAATAGCCCACAAGGCAGATCAATTACGTTTGACAACTTTGATTCTGGTATGTAATAGTTAAAAAGAGGAACCATCTAATGGGCTAAAGTCTCTACATTAGTTTAATGATAAAGAGTTCACAATTGTCTATTTCTTTAAAAAGAGAAAAAAAAATGTGTAAAATAGATATAAAATTAATAGCCCACAAATGTCAGAAGCCAAAGAAAATGCACCTGGGCATCTGAATTAGAAGTTGGGAGCAAATTCTATCCTGGTACAGTATGTCTTCATTGAGCTTCTTTTATGGTATACCAACAAATAGCAACCAAAAGGTCTATACTGGATGATAGAAGCAACAAGCGTCATATAAAATGTTTTAACCTGGAGAGTTGACTCAGTGGTTAAGAGCACTTACTGCTCTTCCAGAGGACCCAGGTTCAATTCCCAGCACCCACATGGCAGCTCACAACTACCTGCAACTCCATTTCCAGGGGGAGCTGATGCCCTCTTCTGGTCTACACAGGCACTGCAAACGTGTGCACAGATACAATGAAGGCAAAACACCCATTTTTAATATTAGCACTTCTTGAAAGTTTATTTTTACTTTAAAAGGTTCACACATAGTTTTACACTATTATTTTTGTTGTGATTTCAACTTTTTCCTATCACTAAATTAGGTATTTATATTTAAAATGTGAAGATAATGATGCAACCCTCGACCCCCAAGCCAAGATCAAGTAATCATTTCAAGTTCTACATTTAAATTCATGGTTCATACTTGAACAAAACAAGATGCTAGCTTTATAAAAAGATCAAGTGCCAAGTCTTGAACAAGATCTTGACTATATCAAAGCCAAGATTCTGCAACGTAAGACATTTGTGACAAAGGAAAAAGAAGACAGAAGAGTGGGAAAATATAGAGGACCAAGATTCAAACAGAGCAAATAAACTAATACAGCTTTAATGTAAGTTGCCTCATCTGGAAGAACAATCTTTAAGTCAGCAGTCTGCTCAACATCCCCAAGCTGATTAAAATCCATGCTAAACATGCACTTAAAACAGCACTGCTAAATTGTTGAGAAGGGTCAAGAAAACTAAAGTTCATCTAATGTAGTTTCCCTAAAATCCCAAGAATGTAATGTCTTAATTTTGGCTTCCTCCTTTAGTAGCCTGCACACAGTACCCAGACTGTAACAGATTTTTGTAGAAATGTACTAAAAGTAGAAAATTATCAGAGACTACAAAGTATTCTACAAAATGAAGATATGCTAGAAATTGGCATGTTCCTATCAAGTACCCTGACTTAAAAGGATAAATGTGTTAAATGGGTAACAAAATAGAATGAACTATATAAAAACTAAATTGAAGGTGAAAAACAAACCACTCTCTTTTCAAGTGATTTGCTCTCCAAAATCAGTCTTAAATTTTAATACTTAAAAATCTGTTTAAGATAAGGAATCACATGATTTACAGCTATCTCTTCACCCTTTCCTAACAATTTTCTAATCAGTTAAAATAGCAACATTCACATTAAAACACCAATTTAAAGTCATTTTTCTCAATTTTACAATCAGACAAGCTGAAGCAATAGCAACAGCCAAAAGCAAAAGCAGAGCATGCAGAGCTCAATGACACTTACCTGCCACTCTTAGATTACACTACAGTAAGTCATGCAACACAGGACAGATACAAGGCAAACTACTTAAAGGTCTGTGAACCCATTATTTGTCTTTTTACTTAAGAGTCAGAATAAAATGAATTCCTGAAATACACAAAATCATTTTACTTTCTTAAATTATATGTAAAGATTAAATAATTTAGGTTCACACTTACCTTTTAATATTATGCCCAAATTACTGAGCTCTGAATAGCCTTCATGAACAGATCCATGTTTAAAAATGTTTTAAATATGCATATGGAGCAAATGAAATCTAGTCCATTTTCTCAATTATAATACATTTTTTCCTCAAATATCATTTTTTTTTTTTTTT